CAGTACAAACCAGCCTCGCCACGCGCCGGCGTTTCCCTAACGCGGCAGCACCGAAAGGCAGGGAGGGGGAAACACCACGGCCAAAGGGCTGGGACCTCCCAAAGCTTTTGTTCTTTTTGCCAGCTATAGCAGTAATTCCTTTTTCCTACAAAACCTCGTGTCAGAAGCAATGCCGGACCCTGACCCCGCCTGCCCTTCAGCCAGGCGTACAGAGCCCGAATGTGCACGACGAACACGGCCAGGCACCCACAAACACCGAGCCGGGCCACCCCCTGTGTTTCACCCTCTCGCTGCGCGCTGCCGTGGGGTGCACACAAAAAGCCCGGAGTCACTCCACATGCACCCCCTCCCCGTCCCCGGCGTGTTTCCCAGCCTGGCGGCCGACGCTGCAGAAGTAGCGGCCGCTTTGCAGCTCTCCCAGCCTGCTGTTGCTCCTATAAAGATTCCCATTTTGGAGTTTGTCCTCAGCATCCTTCCCCGGCAGCCCCAGCTGCGCCCGAGCACCCGGGCTCCCCATGCCCGCTCCCTCCCCATGTTGGGTGGGCGTTGGGTCGGGGTCTCCCACCTGGAGCGTGGGGAGCAGCCTGCAGCAGCTCTCCCAGATGGTTTTGTGATCCTGGGCGCTGTTTTCTTCGCTCCAGTTGCCGTGCTGGTAGATGCCTCCCAAGACCGTGAACTCGCTCCTGCACCGAGAGCCAAGAGAGATAAATGGTGGTGAGTGCCCCCAGCCGCCCCTCGCTGGGCCATCCCGCGGGGGCACCCTGCGTGTTTCATGGATCTGGATCTCTGCAATTTATGGATCCTGCTACATCCCAAATGTGGAACGTGTTCCTGCCAGAGAACCTCTCACGCCAAGCAGGCAAGGGAGCAGGCAAGGGAACCCCTCACGAGCAAGGCACTCGGTAAATGCTGTCAGCACCCCAAAGGCCCTGGCCTTGGGCAAACCTGATCCCATCTCCTGTCAAATGGGGCTGCTCCCGCCTGGCTGGGGAAGAGAATGGGAAGGAACGGGCTCCCTGCAGCAGGGAACACAAAGACATGGATTTCCATTGCTGCCACCCCAAAACTCCTGCAGATTAACAGAGATGTGTTAAGGCTGGGGGGTCTGTACCCGCTGGACCCTTCTAAAACCTTTCCTGAGCCCTGGGAAGCGCAAAGACGAAAGGGCTGGATGCTGGGAAGAGCAGGAGGGGAGCCCCCGGGGCCAAGCTCTCCAGCATGGAAGCAGCATCCTCCACGCCTGAGCGCGGGACCCGGCTGCCTCCGTTGGGAGCCAGCCCCGCTACGGCAGGTCAAGCCAAAACAAACACAGGGAGGGGAATTCGTGTGTAGCTGGGACTGTGATCAGGAATCGCTCGGAATACTTTGCCTGGGGGCTGTGAGCATTCAAAGTTCCTATTTACACGATGGCTTATTGCCTAACCCTGGAATACCGGCACAATAGGAAGGGCCAGAAATGCAGCATTCAAGTTACGGTTTAAAAACCCCTCTCCACTGCCAAAGCGGGGTCGATGGCTGCTCTCGGGAGGAAACAGAGGTGGGAGGAACAGCAGACACATATTCATTTGTCCTGCAATTCAGCTCCCTGGGTACGCTGCCGTCTCAGAGCCAGGGTCTCATTTCAGCCCTCCCCATCCCTATGGGGACAGGGAAACAAGGTTTTCCCCTGGGATTCCTCCTCGGTTCTCGCAGGGAGGGGGCAGGGAGCCCCTGCATGGGTGCTAAACCGAATGGGGTGCTCTCAAGAGAGGTCTCGCCAAGAGCCAGGGCACAGCTCAGGGTAACAGAGCTTTTTAGGGTAGGTTTCATGAAAGTAAAAAGGGTTCCTGCCACTGGTTTTAATGGGAGCACGACTCAGAAGCGCCTTTTCCCACAAGGAGCTGCAGCACAGCAGTTTTGTCAATACCACTGATAAAAAAAAAAGGGTACAAATGTGAAAACAAAAGTTCTCCCCCCAGATATTTGCCCCACTGTCAGTGTTTGGCTCTTTTGAGGACCTGGCCACGGTTGGTGTTTTGCTTTGGTGGGATCTGCTCCTTGGAAAAGGACAGGACCAGGGATATTGAAGCCCCATGGTGCTGCCTGATCCGGACCACGGACCAGCCCGGACCCTGCTCACGTCCGAGTGCTGAGCCGGGGTTTGGGCCTGGAATTCCCTCTCTCTGTGCCGCCCATGGGAGCTCCCCCGCTTTGCCTGCCCACCTCCTTCTGCTCTCCTCCATCATCGGGCCGAGTAGAGCCCAGGCCTGGGGTGCTGCCCCCAGACGGGGGTACAGCAGGGCAGGCGTCAGCGAGGAGCCGCGTCCCAGCCGCGCTTTAGCAGCGCCGATGGCAGAGCGTGGCCAACGCCAGCCAGCCCCCGCCTCGCCCACTGTCACCTACCCTGGTATGACGTACGGCGAGTTGTAGATACCAGATGTGATGTCATGAGTGATGATGAAATGCTTCACCCACGGGGCCAGGACCTGCGAGGAGAAGGGGAGAGAGGGTCAGGGGGAGCTGGAGAGTGGGGTCCCCGGCTCAGCGAGGCAGTGGGAGGGACGTGGGCGGCTCGGCGGATGCCGGGGTCCACACGTGGTGCCCTCCCTTCTGCTCAGGCTCCACGTACACCACGGCACTGGCTT